CCAAACCTGTATCCTGCTGCAATCCAGTGCAGCTCCTCATCCCAGTCCCGCTTCCTCTTCTCCCCATATGCCCTCAGTCCCCGCTTCAAGGTTTGGACCAGGCGCTCTGTCAGCCCATCGCTCTGTGGGTGGTAGCGAGAGGTGCGCCTGTGAGTGATCCCCGCCTCTTCCAGCAGCGTCTTGAAGTCTCCCTGGAACTCGGTCCCCTGGTCAGTGAGGACTTCTGCACATGCCCCAAACCGGCATATCACCTGCTCCTTGAATGCCGCTGCCACCTGCCTGGAGCTCTTGCTCGAGATTGCCCTCACCTCCAGCCACTTGCTCACGTGCTCCACCATGAGCACTATGTATCGCTTACCCCCCCGGCTCAGGGGCAGTTCCCCGGCCAGATCCAAGGACCACCTGAAGCCTAGGCCTCGGATGGGCAGGGACTGCAGCTCGGCTTTAGCCTGGCTGAGGTTTGCCCTGCTCCTCTGGCATGCCTCACAGCCCTCCACCCAGCCCTTCACTTGCCTCCGCATCCCCTCCCACCACCACCCTGTCTTCAGCAGCTGCACTGTCCTCTCATGCCCGAAGTGCCCCAGCTTCGTGTGTACCTCTTTGATCACTGCTTCCCGGTCACTAGGTGCTGGCACCAGCTTCCATCCATCCTCGGTTTGGATCTGCAACTGCTGCTGATACCATCTATAGTGGTGTCCCCTAGCCCTCACTCTCTCCGTCATTTCTTCATCCTCCCCTGTCTCCCCTTTCACCCACCGCATGGCCTGCTCGTCTTCCCAAATATCTGCCGGCCCCTTGCCCCCTTTTGCCCCACCCACTTCTACATGCCTGGCCAGCAGTGTTAAGGTTACGCTTGGTTCTAGCTGTGGGGGGTTTCGGGAGAGCCCATCCACATGCTGTAGAGTCTTTCCCGGCCGGTGCTTGATCTTGAAGTCGTATTCCTGCAGCTTCATCGCCCACCGTGCGTTCCTGCCTGTCAGTCCCGGAGTAGTCATCAGCCATGTCAGTGGCTGGTGATCCGTCACCAGGGTGAATTCTCGTCCCTGTAGGTACACTCTGAAATGCCCCACCGCCCATACTGCTGCTAGTCCCTCCCCTATGTACGAGCTGTACTGCGCCTCCGCCGAGTTGCAGCTTCTGCTCGCATAGGCCACCACCTTCTCCTCCCCTTGCACCTCTTGGCATAGTATCCCTCCCATTCCTTGGCTGCTCCAGTCGGTGTAGAGGGTGAATGGCTGGTCTGCTACCGGCAGCCGTAACACTGTCGCCGTCTTCACCGCTGCCATGAGGTCCTGTAGGGCTCCCCTCTGAGCCTCTCCCCATTCCCATGCCCTGTCCTCCCTCAGCAGCCCGTTCAAGGCTGTTGCCCGTTTGCTGAAGTTGGGCACGAACCTCCTGTAGTAGCTAAGGAAGCCCAACACCGCCCTCAGCCCCGACTTGTCCTTTGGCTCCCGCAGTCCGTCCAATACCTCTACCTTAGCCTGCTGGATCCCGATCTGTCCTCCCTTTACCTCGTATCCCAGGTACTGCACTGTCTCCTCACCCCACTTGCACTTCTTGGGGTGACATGTTAGTCCCGCTACTTCTATTGCCGCCAGTGTCCTCTCCACATCCTGCAAGTGCTGCTGCTCGGTGGCACTGAAGATCACTACGTCGTCTATGTAGCACGCTGCACATTCCACCTCCCTCAGTACTGCATCCATAACCCGCTGAAACACTGCCGATGCGTTCCTCAGCCCGAATGGCATGTACAGCCACTCATACAGCCCATCCGGCCCATGGAAGGCTGTCTTCTTGACGTCCTCATCTCTGATCTTGATTTGGTTGAACCCCTGCCGCAGGTCTAACGTGGTGAAGAGGACCCCATCTGCCAGCTTGTTATAATATCTCCTCCGCCATGGGCATGGGGTACCTGTCCGCTACTGTGATCTTGTTGAGCACCCGGTAGTCTCCGCACATCCTTCTACTCAGGACCTTCCCCGTCAGGTCCTTCCTGGCAGCTACTACTGTGGGCGTAGCATATTCTGGCTCCGACCGCCTAATTAACCCGGCCTCCAGCAGCTCCTTGATTTTCTCCTTGCAGACTTCTTCATCCCCGTGTGGCATCTTCCTCCTCCGGTGGAACACGGGCTCCGCACTGCTCAGCTTCAACTCCATCTCCTTCACCTTGCACCTTCCCAACTCCTGCATGTTGAAGGCGAAGCACTTTCTGTGTTTGGTCAGCAGCCGTAGCATGGCCTCTTTCCCTTCCTCACTCATCGCCTCTCCTACCTTCCACGTCTCCTCCTCCTTCTCCTGGCATGCCCATGCCCCCTGAGGGCGCGGCTCTGTGCCCCCTACCCCTTCCTCCTGCCCCCAGCACATCACCGTCTCTCTCCACATCCGCTGGACCAGCCATCTCATCATGTTGCCGTCCATGGCGTTCCCTAGGGCTCTCCTCCGGGCAGCCTCGCTCACCCCAGGAGCTGCCGTTGCATTCTCCCTGTATCCCAAGGCCAGTTCCCGTTCTAGCGCATTCGGCTCCTCCCACCGCTTCTTCCTGTGATCATAGATGAGTCCTGGGCCCGGTTCCCCACCTGCCCATGCATATCCTGCCGCTCCCGCATATGCAACCAGAGTGGGCAGCGCCCGCCGATCCTGTCCCACCTGGTTGCAGGGGTAATGTCTGCTGTATCCCTTCCTATCTACCGGCGCTGGGGTCCGTTCTGGCTCAAGGATATCCTGCACTCTCCTCTCTGGCGCTCTTCTCACCCCCTCTATCTCCTCCTGCAGCTTCGGAGCTGGGACAATGTTCTGCCAGTACATTCTCAGTCGGTGAGCTAGTGATCCCATTCTGGCCGCATCGCTGCTCACCCCTTCTCCCAATTGCTCCTTGATCCTCTCCCGCACCAGGCGTACCGGCTCCCTGCTGTCCCCTTCCAAGTCCAGGTTCTCCACCAGGTAGGCCACTCTCCCCTGCCTATCTTGCAGCCACTCCAGGATACGGAAGAGATCCTCCATCAGCTGTGTCCTCGGGTCCCCCTTTCCTCTCCCCTTGCCCGCCCATGACACCCCTTGGCACTCCCACCCTGCCACCAGCAGATCCACCTGCCCCCAGCGGGCCACTTCCGCCTCTGTCAACTGCGCCACGTCGTGACCGTCTCCCCTCATGGCTTCACGGATTACTCCTGCACTTAGAAGCTCTGGGAACTCCGCCTGCAGCTTCAGAGCGTGATGCTCGGCCATCTTCCTCACCGCGGGCGCCCATTCCATGTATACCAACTTTTGCACTGCAACCCCACTCCTCACCACTGCTGCTAATCCCGCCCCAACTCCTCCAAACAGCTCCACCAAGCGGATGGGCTGCTGCCAATCGCTCTGCCGCCTCGGCTCATCCATCATCCTCATTCTGGGCACTCCCCTGGTCCCATACACTTCCTTGTGTTCCCCCGCCTCGCTTGTCTCCGCATCCTGTCCCACCATGGCCTGGTATGCTCTCTTGGGCTCCACCTTCACGAATCGTACTGGCAACTCTCCTATTGGCCCCTCCTTCTTCCAGTACCGCGTTCGGAAGGCCACCCTCTCGGTCCACGTGCAGATGGTCATGCCCACCGCAAACACCAGCTCCGTGCCCACTAACACGTCAAAGTCCTCAGACTCAGAGATGCCACATCTCATTCTGACCTTGGTTTCATGCTCTCCTCCTGGCAACATTGTCACCTCTATAAGTGCCCGCGAGCAGGGCATCCACTTCGGCTCCCCCCCTTCCGTTGTCATCACCAACATCCCCTTTTTCACATGCCTTTCCGGAGCCAAGAGCCCCATCCTCTCAGCCATCCCCTTGCCCAGCATCACACTCTGTGCCCCCGTATCTATGATGGCGATCTTTACCTTCTCCCCCTCCACTTCCATCGCCCCTTCTTCCAGCAGTAACACGGAGGTCTGACACGCCAACCTCTCCTGTGGATGGCGTGCTGGCGGCAGAACCACCCCTGGCTCCCCTGGGTTCTGCCCCTTCTCCCGGACCTTCCTGCTCTGCTCCCGCCTGCCATCCCTCCCCCCGCTCCTCAGCCCCATCTCCTCTCTTCCCCTCCATGCCATGAGTGCGCATTGCACGTCCTGCTCCACCTCCTCTCCCTCCTCGTCTCTAGCGTACATCCCTGCCTCTGCCCCCCACCTCGGCCCCGTTGCCTGTAACTGAGCCTGCAGCCTGCTGATCTGCCGCTGCAACCCCTCAGGGCTTCTCCTGGCTCCTCCTTCCCTCTGATAGCAGTCCTTGGCCTCGTGCCCAATCTTCTTGCACGCCTCACACTTAGCGGCATCCGGACATTCTCGCTTGCGGTGGCCCGGCTTCCCGCACCCATCACAGTTCTTGCAGTCCCTGCGGAGATTCCCTGGCTGCCCGCAGCGGTGGCAGTTCCTGGTCTCTGCCCGTGCCTCTCCTTGCTCCTCTGCTTTCCCTCGGTCCTCTGGTATCATTGCTGCCGCCCAGGTCGGTCGGCGCGCTCTCTCCAGCTGCCTCGGTAGATACGCCTCATATTTCCTTTGTGCGAGCTCCACCCTCTCGGCCAGCTCGAACACCTCATCCAGGCTTGCCTCCGCGCCCAGCTCATACACCCTCATCCGCAGCCCGCCTCCCAGTGCTTCATCCAGGCCCCCCAGGAACTTACTGATCAAGAGGCTACTGTCCGTGCATCTCACATCTTCGGCTACGTTGATCAGCCGATTGTAATACGCCAGCAGTGACTCTGTCCTCCCTCTCTTGAACTCCTGGAACTCCCTTATGCACTCCGCCGTGTGCCCCGGGAACTGCCGTTGCAACCGCTCCAAGAATGCTTCGGTGGGGTCTTCTCCATACCTCGCTGCCCTCCACAGCAGCTCCTCCATCCTCATACGGTACAGAGTCCCCGCTTCCTCATCCAAGGTGTTTGGCAGGCTCAGGAAGAAATCTATGGGGTCCATGCCGTTCCGGTCGCACCGATACTTCACATTCCCCACTTGCATCAGGTAATTCTTGAGCGATGGCCCCGTCCTTTGGTCTCCCGAGAACCTGGCTGGCACCTCCACCCTTGTCGCCGTGGCCCCGCCCCCTCTTCCCTCTCCCCACGACTCACTTGCCCCTCCCCGCGGTCTCCCATACCCCCCTCCTTGCCCTGCTCGTTCCAGGCCCTCTCTGGCCATACAAGCTCGCTCAGCCCCTTGGGCCAAGCTGCCGCTCCTGGCCCTGCTCTCCTGCTTCCCTCCGCGCGTCTCTCCCGACTGTCCCCATTGACTCCCTTCCCTCTCCGTCCGCCCCCATCGTCGTTCCGGCGAGTGGTGGTTCCTCTCCCACTCACTTGGGCCGGCTTCACGCAGCTGACGCCGCGCCAGGGGTGGTGACCACTCTTCCCTCGCCCTGCCCGGCTTCCGAATGCCAGGTGACGCGCGGTCTGCTTCCTCCCACCTTCCCTCTCGCCAACGGTGCCGCTCAGGCGACTGCTCCTCGCCATGGGGCCCCTTCCCCCACCGCCGCTGCCCCCGCAGAGAGCGGGATCCTCCCCTCCGTTGCCCTTCCCAGCGCCGCTGCGGCTCAGGCGAGCGGTCCTCCCCGTCCCGTCCTCCTCCAGGTGCCCACGGGCGAGTCGCCGCGCGCACCCCCTTCTCTTCCACTCCTTCCCGCCTCTCTTCTGTGCCACCGGACCGCCCGATCCTCGGCGGCGGTTCCTTCATCGAACGTGAGCCTCCCTCTCTCGGCTCTGCACGTCGTCGCTGGGCTCCAGTCGCGCGTGTGTCCTCCGCTTCGCCCCATCCGCGCATTCCCCGCGGCTGCACCGTACGTGCCTCCTTCTCCCGAGTCCGGCCTTCCTGTGGCAGCACATCGCGGGCGTGGTGCCCTCCCAGGCGGTTGGGTCCCGGGGCACGCGTCCCTTCCGCGCGTACCTCCCCTTCCCCCGCCCTTGCTGCCGCCACGGTGTCGGCGTGTTCCGCTCTGGGCACGCGCAATTCCTCCACGGTTCCGCTCGGGACGTGGGGCACCGCGCGCGTCTGCTCGTCGCTGTCCTCCTGCGATTCGCCGTCCTCCTGCTCGTCGCCGAGCTCCCGCTCGCCGCCGTACTCCCGCTCATCGCCGTGCTCTCGCTCGTCGCTGTGCTCTTGCGCGTCGCCGAGCTCCTGCTCGTCGCCGTATCCCTGCTCGTCATCGTACACCGGCTCGTCGCCGTCCTCTTGCTTAGCCTCCTCGTTCTCCGCCTCCTCCTCGTCACTCTCCTCCCGCGTCCGTTCGACCCGCGGATCTTGTTCGACTCGGCTCACGCCCGAGCCTTCTCCCCATTCCCGCGGGAGTCTCTCCCTCCCCCGCCATCGACCTCGCTCATCCCGTCGCCGCCCTCCCGCTTCCGGGGAGCGGAACACCCCTTCGTCGCGCGGATGGCGGTGTTCGTCGCCGCGCAAGTGGAATGTGTTCCTCCGCCACGGCGCGCCGCTCGTCGATGCATCGAGTCTGCCGCCGCTTCCTACGTCGTGCGCCGTCTCTCTCCTCCGGCGGGCCGGCACGACGGGAATCCTATCCGCTCGGAAGGCCGGCCTTCTGGGCGCTCGCTCTAGGGAACGCCCACGCTCCTGCGAATCCTCACGCCGCCGCCTTTCCTCCTCTCTACGCGTGAAGATCCGGCCCCAGCGTAACTCATACTTATCCATGCTGCGTGCCTACGGTTGTTTGCTAGTATGAACGGGATCTCTCCCTCACCCCACTGGTTCCCTCCCGGTGGCGTATCACTGTGTGCTAAGAGCTTAGAACGATAACTTCCACTATTACGAGAGAATACTAGCAAACAAGCAACAAGTGGTACGTGCGTGCGAGACCTTACCCAGCCCAACCCTGTGCTGCACATTCCCAAATGCGCGGCTCGGGGTTGGGATACATTTCGCCCTTCGTCACACATTTCGCCCTTCGTCACACATTTCGCACTTCGAGGCTTTCCCCCCCCGGTTTCCAGCAGTTCCTCATCTGTTCCCCCCCCCCCCACCCATCTCTCTGTTCAGCAGTCACCTCGCTACACTCTACACTACACAAGAATCTACTTTGCAATGCATTTCTATTGTTATCTCCTATTACTATTTCCTTTACCCCTTGTACTCCTGTTATTGCTTATGCACCAAGTGCATAAGCGGTGACAGCATGAACAAGGAATGATCGGCCGTTCAGGGAGTGAAGCCAATCTCCTCCAAAACTTCTCGCAGCATCAAGTACCACTGCCTAGGGGCCTGCTTCAGCCCATAGAGGGTCTTCTTCAGCTTCAAAACTCTGCCACTACCATCATCAAACCCCTCTGGCTGCGCCAAGAAAATCTCTTCTTCGAGAATGCCATCGAGGAACGCGGTTGTCACGTCCATCTGCTTCACCACCCATCCTTTGATGGCAGCCCCCGCGAGTAGGGTCCGCAGCGTCGTCGGCTTCACCACAGGAGCAAACAACTCCTTGAAGTCCACCTTCTCCTTCTGCTGGTACCCCTTGGCCACAAGCCTAGACTTGTAGCGCTCGATCTTGCCGTCGGCGTCCGACTTGATCTTGAAGAGCCACTTGGACGTTATCGCCTTACGCCCCTCCGGTAGCTCCACCAATTCCCACGTGTCGTTCTCCTCAATGCTCTTCAGCTCGCTCTCCATTGCCTTCTTCCAATCCTCAGCATCACTTCACTCCAAGGCCTCCTTGAGAGTTGCTGGTTCTCCCGGCATCTCCACCGGAGAGAAAAACACGAACGCACATTCCTCGTACTCACTTTCCTCATCATCTCCGACCATCATTGCCGCTCCGGCCAGGGCTGACTTGCCCTGCTTTCCCGGTGCATCATAGGTCAGCCTATTAGGGGCTTGAACACCCCTCTTGCCCCTTCCTTCCTCCTCAGCTGCACGGACATGAAGGCCTTGGCGTTGCTGCGGGGTGACTCGGATCCGTGGAGCACTCGTAGCACGTGAAGGAAGTGCCGGTGCACGCTCGCTCACTTGCTGCACCTCCTCCTCTTCTTCCTCTGCATCCTTGGCCTCCTCTCCCCCATTCACAAGGGAAGATTGCCTTGTGGTGGTGCTGCTGCTGCTCAGCTCCAAAGGCAGCTCCACATGCTCCAAACCAGAACTCTTCACCTCCCCAAACCGCACGCCTATCTTCGCCTCATTCTCTGCCTTCCAATCCTTGTACATCAGATTCTCCATGAACTTGCAGTCCCTGCTCACCAATAATTTCTTGGTGAATGGGTCCCAAAGAAGCCACCCCTTGCTGTTTTGAGCCATGCCCAAATGCACGGCCCATATCGCCTTGGCACCGAGCTTGTGGTGCCGAAGATGCTTAGGTACGAGCGCCATGCACATGCACCCGAACACCTGAAGCATATCCACCTTGGGCTTCCTTCCGATCCACTCCACATAGGGCACCCATTTGTCTGCTCCCACATGAGTCAAGGCTCTGTTCTTGGCCACACATGCACTCCGCACCGCATCAGGCCAGAAATAGTCGGGTAGCCCGGCTTCAATGAGCAACCCGCGTGCCGTCTCTGTGGTTGTGCGGTTCGCTCGCTCGGCAATGCCGTTCATTGCAGGGGAGTATGGCATGGTGAGGGAGTGCCTTATCCCATTCTTCTTCAGCCACAATCCAAACTCCTTGCTCAAGAACTCTCCCCCTCGATCGGTGCGGATTGCCTTCACTAGCCGGTCTTGTTGCCGCTCCACCATCGGCAACCAATCGGTCTTCACCGTTTCAGCCACGTCACTCTTCTTGGACAGCACGTACACCCAGAGCATGCGAGTGTAGACGTCCACAATGGTGAGAAAGTACTCAGCTCCAGCAGCTCCAAGCTTCAGGGGGCCCACCACGTCCATCACCACCTCATCAAGTGGTGCCTTAGCCGTTGCGTCCGAACTAGAGAACGGGTAACGGGTGAACTTGGCTTGCATGCACGTCGGGCAGCCAAGTACCTCATCGGGCTCCCCCTTCACGCGTATGCCAGCAACCATCTCATTCTTCACTAGCTGCTGCAAGATGGGCAGGGCCACATGCCCCATGCGCCGATGCAAGGTGAGCCAATCACACTCCCCCGTAGCCGAAGTCGGATTGGAGAATGCCGCGCTCGCAATAGCGCCCCACATGCTCTCTCCGTACTCCTCCTCCCCTGCTGCCTCGGGGTTCTCCTCACCCTTGTGCTGCTTCTTAGCTGCTGCACCACTCTCCTTAAGTTCACACAACTTGCTGGTCCCTCCAAGATTGCACTTCTTGGACTCTGTCGCCTTAGCGCCATCGTTCTCGCCATAGCCGCTACCAACCGCTTCACCCTTGGTGCTGACGCTTGCTGCCACTTGCCTCTCCTTAGGCATAGGGACCACTGGGTTCTGCCACATCTCGTTGTAGACATTTCTATCCTCATGGAGGTCCCAAATAATCCGCTCGCCAAGCCTCGCAATGTAGGTCTTGGCTCCTTTCGAGCTCGTGTCCATGCCGGCCTTTTGCAACCGCCGCACGAAAATCAGGTTCGCAGCAAGGTTGGGCACCCAAAGCACATTCTTGAGGCCCACCATCTTCCCATCAGCACCCTTGAACATGGCCTTGCCCATGCCTTTCACCTCTGCTCGCTGCCCCAAAGCCGATGTGACATGCTTCACCGGTGACGGTTCGAGTTCGGTAAGCAAGTCCGCGCGAGGTGTCATGCTATAGGTAGCGCCGCTATCGATCACCCAATAGTCCAGGGAGTGTAGGGTCACCTTCCCCACAGCTGCTGGCTCCTCAAAGCCTTCATCTTTCTCTGGATCAGCCGGTGCTTGCGTCGAGACGTAGAAGAATTGACCCGGAAAGCGATCGTCCCTCGACTCGCTCTCGTTGCCGTCACTCTTCATATTTGCAGCACCACCTCCGCGACCGCCACGGCCTCCACGGCCTCTTCCTCTCCCTCCTCCTGCTCCTCTACCCTCTTGGCCTTGTGCAGGGGTCCATCCATCTGGGAGCTTGTAGAAATCGCGCCACATGTGTCCGCTCTTGTGGCAATAGTGGCACTCGCCGTCGAATCGGCCGCGACCGCGTCCGTAACTCTTGTCGTCGCTGCCGTATCCGCCATTCCCGCGGCCTCTACTGAAGTTGCTGCCACCAAACCTTCCTCCCCCTCGTCCTCTGCCCCTTCCACGGCCGTACCCAGGGTCGATGATTGCTGCCCCGGCGCCATCCGAACCCGCCAACTCACGGCGGCGGAAATCCTCTTGAAGGATAGCTCGCTTCACGTCTTCAAGCGAGAGGCGGGGCAGATCACGGTTGAGGTTGATGATGAGGGAGGACCATGACTCAGGGAGTAGGGCCAGCAACTTGGTCTTCTTCTGGAGCTCACTGTAGTTCAAATCAGCTCCCTCAAGCCGCGTCAACAAGTCGAAGAATTTCTGCACCCTATCTACGGGTTCATCTTCTTCAATTCGTAGTGTCGCCATTTGCCGTTCCAATACCACTGCTACCGCCGCTGTTGCAGGAGCGTGTACACCCTTGAGAGCAGCCCATGCCTTTGGTCCCTTCTCTGGTTCACGCTGAAATGGCTTGATGTGACGGATTTGGCTGCTCCCCAACGCTTGCCCAAGTAGGAGATAGCCTTGTGCGCTCTTCCGCAACCACGGGCTCTTCTCCGGGTCGTTCTCGGGGCGCTTCTCCGTTCCTTCCATCACCTCCAGCAGGTCATAGTGGTCAAACACGTTCTCCATTCTGAAGGACCATTCAGCAAAGTTATCGCCGTTGAACTTGTCAAGCCCGAACACTCTTGGTTCATCCCTAGAAGGTCCAAGAGTAGGTTGCACGGGCGCCATGGCTGAATCACGGGGTTGACCTTGTGCTTGGGGTGCTCCACTGCCTCCAGCACCTCTGTCACCCCTTTCTTCAGGTCCAGCCATCGTCGTAGCTGCTCCAAGGCGGTCTGATGCCACTTGTTGTAGTCACAGTAGGCTCCAATGTGCCTAATACGAAAGATAGAGTGCACAGTCGGATTTCTGCACAGCGGCTTTAAACGTTCATATCGATCTGGTCACATCTTCAAATGACCTGATTCAAATAGGGTCTGGAGCGTCTTAAAGTCGCCTACACTAATCAGTTTAGATCGCACGATTTCATTAAGAATTGACGACACAGCGTCGGTTTGAACGAACGGCACTATGGCAGCCACTATAGTCTTAGATCACAAATTAGGAAGAGTTACGAGTTGGGAATGACTCCCAGCTCCTACAAACCCCAAGAGCCGAGGTACAGTGATGTGGAACAGTGCCACACTGTCCCCAACCACGAAGGGTCTCGAAACTACCCTTCACAAGGGCCTACACCAAGTGAAATGTTACACTACACAAAGTAATGTAACTATTCTCAATATCTTGAGGTGTACCCTTTTCGCGGGCTTTGCGATCACTTGAATCTTGACACCAAGGCTCTGGTTCTTCACCATAAACTCATCCTTGCGTTCTTGATGGGTCTGCTTGCACACACCTGCGACACGCCGAACGTTCCACACACGACAAAATAGAAACCGTGCACGAGACACACGACAAAAGAAATCGCGCACGGGACACAAACGACCGCGTGACACGCGACTAGCGATAACTCACTATTGGCTCGACACACACATTCGACATCATGACTCAACATTCACACACTTTTATAAGCATGAAATATATATATATATTATCCCATGCCCTCATACCATTCCATGCACACACGCATGCACGCACACGGACAACAAGCCGAGTGCAAACCGTAGGGTTGCACCAACAAGAGGCAAGTGGCAGGTAGCTAGGCAGCATCAGTGACGGTGAAGGCGCGGCGGAACGCGGGGAGAAGTGCTGGTGGTGCCGGTGGTGGTGGTGCTGTTGAGGGTCAGGTTGGTGCCGGCTCTGTTATTGCCCGCTGCTAGGGGCACGGGGCCTGGGTGGGGACGGGGGAGGGGAGGAAGGAAGCACAGTGAGGCATGTGGCATGCGACGTCAGTGACAGTGGAGTGGTGGAAGCAGTGAGGAGTAGTGGGGCCACGCGGAGGAGGGTGGTGAGGTGGTGGGGGCACTAAGGGTGGTGGGGGTGCTGGTGGTGCTGTTCAGCGTGAGGTTGGTGGCCGCCCTGCTGTTGCCTGCTGCTAGGGGTGCGGGGCCTGGTTGGTGTTGCGGGGAAGGGGGAAGGCACGAGGAGGTACAATTGATGTCCTTTGCTCTTTTTATAGAGGACTCAGGAGCAATGCGCACACAGGACATCTCTTATGGGAAGGAGGGCAAGTACCAAGAAGCAAGGGGTGGGTGGCACATGGGATGTGACATGCATCCCTCTGTCTCCTGTGCTCGCCCCCCTGCACCTGTGCGAGGCACCTGTGCGAGGGCAGAGAGGCACCCTTAGCGCCACAGCAGCAGCCCCCCTCATCTATCAGCAGCCCAAGCCCCCTCATCTACCCCCCTCATGTATCAGCAGCCCAAGCCTCCTCATCTACCCCCCTCATCTATCAGCAGCCCAAGCCCCCTCATCTACCCCCCTCATCTATCAGCAGCCCAAGCCCCCTCATCTACCCCCCTCATCTATCAGCAGCCCAAGCCCCCTCATCTACCCCCCTCATCTATCAGCAGCCCAAGCCCCCTCATCTACCCCCCTCATCTATCAGCAGCCCAAGCCCCCTCATCTACCCCCCTCATCTATCAGCGGCCCAAGCCCCCTCATCTGCCCCCCTCATCTATCAGCAGCCCAAGCTTCCTCATCTACCCCCCTCATCTATCAGCAGCCCAAGCCCCCTCATCTACCCCCCTCATCTATCAGCAGCCCAAGCACCCTCATCTACCCCCCTCATCTATCAGCAGCCCAAGCCCAGCGGGACACACCTTTGAGCCATGCAGAGTCGGCAAAGGAGGGCAGGTGCCAGGTGTCAGGGCTGGGCGGTGGTAGGGAGTGGGTGAGGCAGCACATGCCATAACCACGCGAGTCGCACCTTAGAGCCATGCGGAATCGTCGAAGGAGGGAAGGAACCAGGTGTCAGGGCTGGGCGGTGGTAGGGAGTGGGTGAGGCAGCACAGGCCATAACCACGCGAGTCGCACCTTAGAGCCATGCGGAATCGTCGAAGGAGGGGAGGAACCAGGTGTCAGGGCTGGTCGGTGGTAGGGAGTGGGTGAGGCAGCACATGCCATAACCACGCGAGTCGCACCTTAGAGCCATGCGGAATCGTCGAAGGAGGGGAGGAACCAGGTGCCAGGGCTGGTCCGTGGTAGGGAGTGGGTGAGGCAGCACATGCCATAACCACGCGAGTCGCACCTTAGAGCCATGCGGAATCGTCGAAGGAGGGGAGGAACCTGGTGTCAGGGCTGGTCGGTGGTAGGGAGTGGGTGAGGCAGCACATGTCATAACCACGCGAGTCGCACCTTTGAGCCATGCGGAATCGTCGAAGGAGGGGAGGAACCAGGTGTCAGGGCTGGTCGGTAGTAGGGAGTGGGTGAGGCAGCACATGCCATAACCATGCAAGTTGCACTTTGAGCCATGCGGAATCGTCGAAGGAAGGGAGGAACCAGGGGTCAGGGTTGGACGGTGGCAGGGAGGCGTCGTTGTAGGCCCATGTTTAACCATGCTGCAAGGATGGTGGGAGGGAAGCGCAGGGTAAGGACGGGAGGGGGGGAGAGGGGAAAAACAGGGAAGGGAGAGTGGGAAGAGTGCGAGAAGTGGCAGCAGGTGGGAGTAGGTGACACGAGCAGATCTGAGCTGGCATGAATGGGAGAAGCATGTGGCAAACTGACATGGATGGAAGACCCACATGACACTTGGATTGTGGCGCATAGAACATGGCACATAGTGCATGGTGCTTGTGATGCGACGGAAATGGTTGGCGAGGGAGATCGGCTTCCTGACACAGCGAGTAGATGTGGCGAGGACGACGAAGTTCCTCTTCGGCGATAAGCAGTAAGGAATCTTTGTCAAGACCGCCTGCTCGTATAGTATTGCCGGTTGTTGAACCACCCAGATGTCCTAACCGCTTATGCCATATGTGTTCTGATGTCGCATGTCCTGCAGAGCGCCGATAAAGATCTGAGTTGGCGTAAAAGGCGTTGAAGTTTGCAGGGCTCCGATGTGACTCCGTCTATATGGTACCGCGTCGAGTAGCTGATGTGTCGATGGCAAGTGGATCAGTCGAGTGTGAAGAGGTGTCGACGGCTCCCCTGTCGACGGCTACACTTCCACGCCGACTTGCTCGACGTCACGTCGGCCGCCAGCGATGCCACTCGTCGGTGCCACAGACGACGCCCCAAGGCTCCCCTCATCGCCGGTGGCCGACACCGGCGTCAGCTCATGCAAGTCGGCGACGAGGGGTGGGACAGCGGGAATAGAGGGAGGAGGGGGAGGGTGGACGTCCTCGACGTCCTCGTCATTAGGCTCGTCGACGTCGGCGAGCAGCGGGAATGTCGCCGTAGAGGAGTCCGTCGACGGGTTGGGCTGCGTCCGCCCTGACGCTAGCCCGTACTCCGTCTGCCACACCTCCAGCAACAGCGTCTCGTAGAAGATCGCCTCCACCGTGGTGACGACCTTGTTGTCGGTGAGGTCGAGCACCTCCCATCCTTTGCTCTCCGTCGACACACCGAGGTGAAGGCCCCACCGAGCCTTCGGCGCCAACTTCCCATCACGCTGCTGCTCGAGAACCAAGAACTGCACCATGCAGCCCCACACGCGTGCCAGCAAAAGGTCGGGCTTCATACCGGTCAGCAGCTGGTGCAGCGTCGTCCCCAGCAGAAGCGTCGACCGCTCAAGGCAGTTGCGCACCCAGACGGCCTGCCGCAGGGCGAGGTGCCACCAGTGGTGCTGCACGCCCATGTGGAGAAGCATCGTCCGCACGGCCTCGACGACCGTGCGCATTTCGAGTAACTTCGATCGAACTACTGGGTTGCTGAAGTACTTTTATTTAATCCAACACATCTTCAATCAATGTACCAGTAGTTCATACATTCAGCAAGTTCTAGTTTGTTGGGAACGGGATGTGATTTGATACTTGTAGTGATGAATGCAATTTATCCTCAACATAGTTAAACAGCTTAACATATGGTAAGAGAATAAACACATACTGCCACATGATTTTATCCAACTGTAGTACAGATTGCTAAACCTTACCCACCCACATCCCTAAGGCTCAGATTTCCTAACATTAACATAACCCAACACCCTCATGAACCATACATACAAGAGCAATGGTAAGCATAACACAGCAAAGGAAGAGGAGGTCAGCCATCATTGGTGCCATGCCATGGCATACGGTACCAAGACAAACATGGCTGCTCCACCTGCACACAACGATGGACCGCATTCTTCACCCTTTATTCTTCTACTGCTCGCGATGCAAGCCATCTGGCGCACACCCATTGGGGCAATCGATCCCTTGCTGCCCTGGAAAATGCTCTAGGCCAGTCCACACCTCTGAGGGATGCACGCGGTCCCAGAAGAGGCTGTCCTAGGGGTGGTTGCATTCTGTGGCGGTTACCTGGTAACCACCTGCTGTCTTGAGGCGCCTCAAAACTTTTCAACCCTAGGGATAGCTGCATGCTATGGCGGTTATCAGGTAACTAACTACTGTCTTGAGGTGCCTCAAAACTCGGTCCTAGAAGATGCTGCCCTGGAGGCGGCTGCACCCTGTGGCGGTTACCCGGTAACCACCCATTGTCAGTGGTGCCTGTCTGCATGAAGCTGCCGCAGCATCATTGGTTCCGGACAGACATGCAGGTGAAAAGTGGACGTTTTGGGGAGGGGGGTGAAGCAGGCGGGGAAGTGGGCGGGGAAGTCCTGCCCTGCCCTGCCCCGCGCTGACGCGCTGCCCTGCACGCTGTCGCACTGCCCTGCCCCGTGCACTGCCCTGCACCACGCGCTGCCCTACCTCGTGCTGTCGTGCTGCTCCTTAACAGCCCTGCCCTGCACTGCCCCGCGCTGATGCGCTGCCCTGCGCGCTGTCGCGCTGCCCTGCCCCGTGCTGTCGCGCTGCACTGCCCCGTGCGCTGCCCTGCACCGCGCGCTGCCCTGCCCCGCGCTGTCGCGTTGCCTCGCACGCGCTGCTCCGCGCTGCCCCGCGCGCGCTGTTCGACAGCTGCCGCGCTATCGCCCGTGCCGCTGCACGCGCTGCCTCACCGCGCTGCCGCTGCACTGCTGCCAGCTGCCACCTGCTGGCCCGCTGCTGTTCGTGCGCCGCCCCGCTCTAGTGCCTGCCGTAGCGCCGCCCTGCCTCCTGCCGCGCCGCGCCGCCCTGCCGAGCCGAGCAGCACCGCGCCGCCCTGCCGTGCCGCACCGGGCCGCGCCGCCCTGCCGAGTCGCGCCGCGCCGTGCCGCACCGCCCTGCCTACTATCGCGGCGCACCACGCTGCTGCTTTGCCTGCTGCTGAGCCGCTCATCTACCGCCGTGCTGTACCCCGAGTCATTGTCCTTACGTTTGACGCAGAGGGACGCCCTATAGAATTCGAGTCCTGGCTAGAGGACATGCACCTGTACCTGCAGAGCCTTACCAAGGACGATGCCTCTCTGTTTGAGCATACGTCGGGGTCCCTCAAGGCCCCCAAGCCTCCAGTAGAGCCTGCCGCTGACGCTGCAGATCATGTGCAAAGGAAGTAGTGAGCTGCACGAAGTGGGCGGCACGCGACGCCACTGCTACACTTGCCGTCCGCGCTTACCTCTTGCCCGACAAGAGGGCCCACTTTTGTCGGGTGAAGTCGGCCCAGGCGTTCTATGCCGCTGTAGTCAAGCGCTACTCCTCCCCCTCATCTGCTACCCTAGGCCGTCTTGCGCTGCCGTTTCTCTTCCCCGAGCTGGCAGAATTCGCCACTGTAGGTGACCTCATGACCCACCTGCGCTCCCTTGACACTCGCTACCGTGTTGCCCTCATGCCAGAGTTTGTGGCTGAGAACCAGCCCCTCATGTAGCTCACTCTGTACTTCCTCGTGACTCGCCTCCCCGACACCCTTCGTAATGTTCGCGACTACTTCCTCTCCCTCGACCCCACTAGTCTCACCCTTGAGTCGTTTGAGACTTGTCTCCTCGAGGCTTAGACCAGTACCCGTGCTGTAGCTGCATCTCGTGGCACCCCCAGCACCTCCTTCTTTGAGTGGTGCGCTCCCTCCCTTCTCGTGTCCTCTGTTGATGTCAGATTTCTGAGGTGTCTGCCTAAGTAATTCTGACAGAGGGTATTGGCGCGAGTGTAATGGGCGGCATGCACATTTGTATATAATCAAAGGGCTGAGCAGCGCGTACGAGGAGGGCCAGTGGCGAGCGAGGGCGGGTAACTCGGCAATGTGGGAAACAGTGGGGTGAGAAACAGCAGTGGGCGGCGAGCTGGGCGAGGAGGGTGGAGTGGTAACTGGGCAGGCAGCAAGGTGTGGATTTGGGTTGGCGAGTGTGATGCTTGTGTGGTGTGCATGCGCGTGTTTCGTTTGTTTTGCAGACACCGAGTCCGGGAGAAGCTGGAAGACACTGCCGCCAGCTGGAGGAGGCAGATTCAAGATATGGATGGCAAGCTAGGTTGATAGCATTCGTTTGCTAGAGTTGCCTAGCTAGGGTTCGATGGGGAAAGCATAAGGGGGAAACCCGGGCCATGGGACTGCCACTGCTTGTTTGTTTTCGCGACTACTGTGATTTCTTTTCCTAAAGATTAGCAGTACCAAGCAAGGCCATAACAGCAGTCAATATGGAGTAGGAAGGGTCTAAGCTTACAAGCAAGCAGTCTATGCGATTACGTTCGGGAAGAGAGATAGTAGTAGTAGAGCCGAAGAAAGAGAGCGTTGAGAGAATGGTCGGGGAAGGAGGAGAGCGGCGGGATGAGAATCAGCCGCCTAGGTAAGGGGACGCAGAGGGTCAGAATGGACCCAGTGACGGAGCGACTGGCCTGCAAGGCGGCGCTCGGACGGAAGCGACGGCCGGCGGAGGCAACGCTTCCAACGGGTCAGGAGAGAGGCAGCCAG